TCAAGTTTTCATGTATTTAATGACTAGTGCAAAGGGTGACATTTAGATAGAAGTGCTCAACAACTTAAGACACATTAACCAGTAAAAGAATAATGAAACGTGACTGAACAGTCACTCTAATTGTAGTTATTCTAATACCTGTGAGTCTTTGTTTTTGCCAATGCAAATCTAAAGTCAACTGGGGCCATGAGTTGTATTTTTGGCTCAAATTTTGGTCTATTACAAAATCCTCCAATAACTTTGGAGCATTAATACCATCACATTATGCCAAAAATATATTTATCTTACAACTCTAAGCCTTGCCTAGCTACACTGTGGTCTTTTAACAAGAAAATGAACAGACAAATGAAACCACATCTCAATTCCTGAGGTGACATGTCACAAGGGTATGATGTGTAATGAAAAAGAGAAATATCTTTACGTACAGCGTGTACTGCAAAGCAAAAACTGCTGGCAACTGTAAGATGAACACAGTCATAAAAAAAAAGCTCTATAGACTCATGTTTGTTCAAACAAGATAATTGCAAACCAACATTATTACTACAACTATAAATAATACTGCTTTGCCAAATCGTATGCTACTGAAATCTGATACCTTTCCCATGTTGCCACCTTTAAGCTATAGCAAAGATAGTGGAATATTATAGTGGAAGTGGAATTATCAGGCTTGCTGCAAAGCCTTTACTCAGTGTTAGTTTACAGTTATGTAAAAAAGTGAAATGTATGTATGTAAATGTATTTTTTCTTTGTTGAACTAATATACGCAAATGTGTCTGTTATAGTGTTAGTATACTCCAATAGATGCATGGACAAAACAGAATAGTGTTACATTACAGATTTCAGCTTTAAATCTCCAAGGTTACAATACAGCCTTTGAGATGGGAGTCGTGCATGCTATAATGAACATACAGTAAGTGAAAAAGTGCCTTAGGACTTTTTGTTGAAATCTTCCCATATGCTGTTTTAGGATCTTACACTGAGTTTTAAATTAATTATGTGCTGTTTGGATGCACTGACCTGGAAAGAAACATGTTAATTAAATACCCATTAGTCAACATCTTACCTGCACTGAGGCTATATTGACATTCATAGTGTAACAAAGTATAAAAATAATAAAACAGTGAAAAGATGTACTAAGGTTTTTTTTTTTTTTGGCTCCAAAGAAACTTTTTACAGCACACCAAAATATCTCAAATGGAAATTTCAGAGATTAAAATATACATTTTAGAGACTAAAAAAATAACATTTGTTGCAACTGGAAACCGACAAATGTTTTTGCTAAGCTCAATAACTTCACATCCCTGCTTGCAAGGTATAAGGAGTATAGTGGAGTACCTGAATAACAAGTGGTAAGTGTTTCATCCCTGAGGGTTTGTTCTCCGTTTCATTTTGCATTGCAGTAAGGAACTGACACAATGTACATGCCTTTTTCTTCCAGAGGAATAAAATAACAAATCTAACAAGCGGAAGCAAACCAAATTACAACTCAATTCTACAATATTTCACAAGCACACAAACACGGATGTTTTAACCCATCTGCAATGTTCATATACTGTACAGTAGGGATATAAATCTGGTAATTCCGAACCACTGTATGGGGGACTTAATCATACATCTTTAATGAACCCTTAAACAGATTTTGAATGGGTTTAGCAATATTTCAGGTTCACACTTAATCTCTTAAATACATTGTTGCTTTGGTGGAAGATACAACAACACTCCAGTATTTTAAAAACAAAAATCCTCAAAGATAAACTTATACAACCATATACAAATAACTTCCCACTGACACATATGATTCAGTCCAATCATGCAAAATATACCCAGTGTCATTCCTTCCCAAATATACAAAATCTATATATACTTTTTTATGGACATGGATACTATTTAGTCATTTGAAGAGCCACACCATTTGCAGTTGTGTAAAGACTTTTTTCCTCATACATTATATTTACCACGCAAACGATACCCAACTTTTGTTGTGAAGAGGGATCTTAAATGTTATCCCATCACATTAATCCATCACATTAAATATACATTTTAAGCATAATCTACTTATGTCTATAAAACATTTATGAGGAACTTTTTGTTTCATTTACATTCATGGTTACTTAAGCGATGATAAAACCATTAATTAATAAATATCGATTAATAAATACTGCATTAAGAAATTACTCCAAAGCATATTAGGTTGAGTCCGTATGTAAGGGGAAATTAACTCTTCCCCCACAAAAAGAAACGAAAAGGTTTTTCTCCAAAGCAGGAGATCATCAAAAATGCTTTTGTGAACTGTCTGAACAAGCCCTCTACATCGCTTTATCCCCACCCCAAAAAGAAAAAAGAATTTAGACGAAGCAAACATTAAGTAGATCACGGTGCAAGTAACTACAAAGATACACTGAAATATTTACATATGGTCAAACTTTGACATATATTCTACTGTCTTATATTAATTTTATGACAGCTCAAGCTATTTGCCTTTACTCAAAACAAAATCTACAATAGACTGTGTGTTGTGTACATAAGAAATTGCTACATAAAACAGCTATGAAAACAGTAGTCGTAGTAGATGTGGGTTTTCTAGATGAGGTAGTCAACCATTAGATTTGCTACAATAGACAATGAGGAGAGCAAAAATGTGTTTTACCTGTCAATAAACCCAAAGTGCTTGTATGTTTTTAATATATCACTTAAAATGCATTTAACACTTTGAATGAGAAAAGGTGTGACTTGAGTAATGATGGATGATTGTCAATGCATGAATAATTAAATTAATGACAGCAAATCAGTGACTAGATTTTACTTAATTGTACTTGAAGCAATTGCTTAGTTTCATTTTTTTTCAACTGAAGCCAAATTATTCAGACATTTTGTGAACATGTGTAACCATTATATGGAATTTAGAGTGGTTAATCGGTTACAAATAATGGCGATTTTTCACTTAAAATGGAGCGGAAATGCAAACATAAAAAAAAAAATCAACCAAAAACTGAGTGACATAAGTTATACTATTGTTACAGTGATATCAACATGAAAGTCCCTGAACTATATTTTACTTCTGAACCAACTGTTACCCAAAAATGTTTACAATCTAGGTAATTTTGTGTAATATATGACTGCCAATATAATATCTGTGTTAAATGCTTGCAGTTAAGGAATCTTTTTTTTAATTAAACTATTCACATTTATCTAACCAACATTGTACACATCTAAAACGGTTGCAAGATTTGCAAAAAATAATTACCAAGATTTGCTAGACCTGTTTATCAACCTGATACAAGAATAATGGGCCATGGTCCCATATTCTGTAATGTCCTGAGGTATAAGTGATAATGCAGAATGAGGTGTGGTGGTAAAATAATGGCCGAGACAGTCAATCCTCTTCCTAGTCCACCAGGCAAAAATTCAATGAAAATGGCTTGTTAGTAGTAGCAGTATTGATTTCAACGAAATGGCAATCGACCTGAGTTTTGGTATAGCCACTTTACACAGAAATATCTCAAGGATATGGTGGAAGGAAAGGCAAGTCTTAACCCAGAGGCTCATGTGGTTGGCTTTAAGACGATTTTTTTCTCCAGTAAAAAATAAATAACAAATTCATATGAACTGCAAACTATGATCCAGAAAGTTACTAAAAAAATAATCACAGAAAGACTGCTTGTAACTGCACAAAAGGTAATCACAAGCAATAAACAGTTAACATAAGTGGACTCTCAAATGCACTGCAGCCTGAGATAATATTTTATTTTCATTAATTATCACTTTTCCTCTGGACAAGGGCGAAAAATTAATTTTCACTGAATTTCTGCCATAGTAACTTGAGAAATAGGTGGGGGTGGATGGAGGCATGATTGTAACAGTAGCTAACAAGTTAGCTAACCTGGCTAGCTAGCAAATGTCAGCAAGCTAGCAGTGAACCACTCTGTAGGTTCTGTATGCTGATATTGCTTAATAAAGTTCTGTTTTTTTAAAATAAACAATAAATAATGACTTTATGAGAGCTTCTAAAACTGACAATGCTGCACTTACATTTTTTTAGACTGACATGAGCACAGGATTGATCTTAGTTTCTTGTTTACCTGAACTTTCAAAAATACCTGAATGTATTTTAGGTAGGAGTTAGGATTTATCTGATACCAAGAGTTTAGCTAAAGCACTGTTTGTGACTGTGAATAATTAGGGATGGAGCGTAGCATCATCCTCACAAACCATACAAGTGTTTAAGCTGAAGAGTGAATTCATTATCATGTGCCATAGGCAAGCAAAATGTCTGTGTACAATACGTTGTACATATGTAGTAAAATACTGACAATGTTTTTGATGATCAAAAGAAAAATTAAAATTCTGCCTTTCTCATGGTCTTACAGAAAGATATCCCAGAGATAATACCTGCAATCTGAAAAAGACAAGCCCTAAATCACACAGAACTGAAATGCTCTGAAGGCTTACACTGGCACTGAAATGCTACTGGTAACTAGTTAAGGAAGGTTGTGAAGACATCTGAGAGTAGGGCATAAATACTTGTCAGTACGACATCCTGAAATATTACCTCAAAAAAGGGGGTATTTGGGTATGTTAACCCTCCCCATTAGAGGTGACACTAACACGAGGAAATGATTAAATTTAGCATATCTGTATCTGAGGTATATTTGTGTGTGTACAGTGAGCTTTTGACTGACAAGTACTGCATCCCAATCTGAATGTATCCTGAGTGCAGTGAAGGCAATGAAAAAAATAAATAAAACCATTCATAAAGCAAAGTAAAACATACAAAGATAGAGAATAAAAAAAGTAAAAATTATATAGTTATGCATATATATATAAGTTATATTAATAGTACAGTTATTATCTATTATATAGGTATTATATATATAGTATGTTATGTTGTTTGTATTATCTTATATATACTATATATAGTATTCTGATTGATGTAGCGGTGTTATACTTGTGTACTATGTTATTGTGTGAGTCTATATATATATATATAAAAACGTGTCATGCTTGTGAAGATGAGCTTAATTTTGATTCAATAGGAAAGTGAACTTCTGGACAACACATGCTATTTCCAACAAGCTAAAATAATAGATACTTTGAGTATAATAGTGTTTGGACATGCTGATTTTTGTCCATTTTAGTTATAGAAGTGCATTTGCAAAACAGTGACACAGACTTTCACTGTCATCTTATAATTGGAGGGTCTATATTCACACAGCAGAATTAAGTGCTCTGAACAGTACTGAGAGAGGACACTGAGGGGCGCCACCTCCTTAGACATGATTCAGTTTGGCTGTGTGTAAAGACTACATTTATAGAGATAGGAATGGCCATTTTTAAAACATAACTTAAATAAATAAACTAAATTCATGATCAATATACTGTAGTATATGAAAATTCTTAACAAATAGCAAGTATGCCTTTCATGCACAATAAGTAGGTCAGGAGGACACTTGGAGTGTTTCAGATAGTTGGCCATACACAAACATATTAAATCACCAAAAGTAAGGGGCACAATTGAATAAGTTAATAATAAATATGGGTGTTTTTGATTTAAATGTTACACACATCTATTAAAGTTTTATGGAAAAACAAGTCAGCTACAACCACTGTCTGGCAAATGCAACATCTGTCTGGTCAAAAGGTACATCATTATTAGTGTTTAACGGTTATATCACTCATTTGATGAGAGGCTTCCATCATGGAAATCATTCCCATTCTCTTCAGATGCACACTCTCCTTTCTCAGAAACAGTGGGCTGGGAGTTTCGGAAGTCATTCCTCTCAAGGGGCTGTGAAACACTCTGTTCCTCTACCTGACTTAACAGCTTCAGTTTCTTTTTGGGGGGATGTTTCAAGGTCCCCAGTCGCTCTTTAACTTTGTATTCCAGTGTGCTGTGTGGAATGCCATAGATCGATTGGGCTTTAGAAACACTCATTTTTCCACCCATCACTACCACAATAGCCTCTTCGAGCAGGTCAGTGTTGTACTGTCGATATCGCCCACGTTTCTTCCTTGGCTGCTTGTTACCTAGGTCTGACTCTGAATCCAAAGGATAGTTTCCCCCCAAGGCTTGGCGGTCAGTGTCATAAGGCCAGTATTCCTTCTCTGAACCTGACATATTGCTCTTTTTCGGGAACTGCCCAGGTAGAATGGAACGAAGAGTCTTTCCCAGACCGTTCTCACAAAGCAAACCTGAATACTCAGCGGACAGGGAATCCGAAGATGGGTCTGTTCCTGTGGCCAAAACCCGCACCTGGGGAATCTTGAGGTCAAAAGATGGTGACTGAGAAAGGGAGAGGCTTTGGTCCCTGCAGGCCTCCTGGAGGTTTCCTTTGTCATAGGCAAGTGACTTTGTCAGAAGTCCCGCAGCTTCCAACAACCTGGGTATGTCTTTAAGGCGCTCACTAGCCTCGCTGTTGGTTTTGAGTTTGAGGAGGGCCCCAAAATGAGTTTTGGAATTCCAGGAAGCAGATCCATTTCTGAAAAGGTCAGTGGGTCTGAAGCTGTGGTTATGGCTGAGAGGTGACTCTGGGTCGCTCTCCAGATCGGCCTCCTCTTTGATGTGCAGCGAGTATGCAAGAGATGAGGAAGGCTTATAACGGTTGGAGTGGCCGATATTCTCCCTCCTCCCATCCTGTAGGCTCTTCATAAACAGCCCGACTTGTCCGTCCGCTCTCAAGGATCGCCTGATTGGATGGAAGGAAATTGGGTGTAAGCAGAGCTTGCACAGTGCCTTTTTTCTCTTTTCTAAAGGAGGATGGGTTGGGGAGGGGAGGATGTTGGCCACTCCTTTATTATATGACCTTGCTTTGGTAACATCACTATCTTTTAAAGTAACTGACTGTGTGGTAGTGTGTGTGACTTTTAAGAACAAAAAAGGCTCAAGTTTGACAATTTTTTTATTCGCTTGCTGTGATGATTGTTTACAAAATTTGCATCAACATAAAAAATAAGAAACAGAAAGAAAGGGCAAAGAAACAGTGGAAATAAAAGCAAAGAAAAGGGCATTTATTGAAGTACATAAAGGTCTTCTTGTGGCTCAAAAAGCTTAGCCAGAAGGAGGGATTATTTGTCATTGCAGTAAGGCAGCTTGGCAAGTAGCTGTTAAGCAGGGCACAATAGCTACGCCATACAAAATGACTAATGCAAATAAAGCTCTTGACATTTTGTGTGTGACGTTACCACTGAACAAGCACAGCAATAAAAGAGTAAGCCAGTAGAGGGTGTTATGGATCAAACCTATGTGTGATCACATAAAGGAAAACAAATGGGGGGGAAGAGTGTTTTTTCAAATTCAAAATTATAAATTAATCTCCAGTCATTGCATAGACTTTAATTGGGTGTCAAATGGCCCAATTCATTATTAGAATCTAAATTGCTTCAATTTTCTTAGTAAGTAGTAATTTATTATTATTACTATTACTATTATTACTATTATTATTATTATTATTATTATATAGACTTTAAAGGCAGATATAGTTCATACAGCTACTAGCAATTTTTTATTAAACTCATCTGCTCTCAAATGAGCACAAGAGGAGAATGCAAAGCCACTCGTGTTTAATTAATCTAAATACATTTTTAATTATAGGCACATTCATGTTCAGATGAGTATCAAGAGGCTTTGCTCTGAAGGAAAACAAAACAGAACCAAACAACAAAATAGAATATTCAATCAAGTTTAGATTAAGATAGATTAATTTAAGAATGAAACAAAATTTGTCTTCAGAGAATATAAATACAATTGGATATACAGACCTATTATTTGGATCTACGACATCAAAAGTATTATGTATTTTATAATACTTGTTTTCAGTGACTACGTTCTACAGAGAGCTCGGCATGATGTATGGGAAGCATGTATGATTTAAAAAACAGTTACCAGCATAATAATAGTTGCTATAACAACAACTGAATGCAAAGCTTCTTTGGGAGAGGAACATGGCGTGCAAATGTGAAATTATTTAAACTACTACTTCATTGAGAGTTTCTGAGCATTCTGTTAAAATAAAAAAGTGGATCTACTCTCCACTGCATTTGTTCAGGGCTTCAGTCCTCAAGAAGCAGTTTCTCATGGTGTTATTTATCCTGGAATCTGTTCCAGTGGTCTATGGTGATCTTTTGACGAGGTGTTGTTGTCATCATCATCATCATCATCATCATCATCATCATCATCATCAGATGATCAAAACTGAGGTCATGCTAACAGAATCCTTTTAAGCCACAATAAAAAATGCTGTCCATTCAGTCAAGAAATGAGGAGCAGGCAGCTGCATTAACTTCTTAAAGTCTGCAAGGTGATTCATTCTGAATATGATACAAACCGCATCCACTCAGATACGCTGGAGCAGCAGAAGCACATGGAAGATTTCCCTCTGTTGCTGTTGGTAAAACTCCTTTTCATGTTTCTTTGTGGCGGGAAACTTTTCTGTTAGCACAACCCTGTTTGTTGCTGTTCACGTTTTTATCAAGCCACCAACTGGCTAAGTGATCTCCAATTTCAGGACTCAAATTTCAGGCCTCAGCTAATGCCTGGGCACCAATGCCACTACACATAACCTGTGTGCAGTAATCCAATTGATTCCAAGTAGTTTGAGGTCATTCTACACTACAATGCAACATATCCTCAAAAACATTACCTAAGGACTGGAGACTAAAGAGACAAAGAGAAAGAAACTCATCTTACCCCTTGAGTGCGGCTGTAGCTGGAGAAAGGCAGGGACTATGAACAGGCAGGCTGCTGCTATAGCGATTCTTTTTGAGAGATAAGTCAAGAACTCCATCTGTTAACAAAAAGGCAAGAAAAACTCAATTAAGAATAAATATTATGTTCAGACTGGTCTATCGCCAGTGCACCAGTTCTGTCCTGTATTAGCTGTTGTGTTACAGATGTTTAAGTTCACACTACCTTGGTCACTAGGCACAACCAGGGGCTTCTTGATGGTGAGGTCAAGAGGAGCATCCTGGTCAGCCATGAGGAGCTTGCTGAGGACGGGGTTCTGGTTGTGTGCAGGCCCAGCCACATTGGCAGCAGGGCTGGTAGAAGGAGGAGCCCCTGAGAGCAAGGGTGGGGTCGGCAGGCTTTGGTCAGAGCGAGGCTGGGAATCTGAGCAACTGTCCTGAGGGGAGCTGGTTTTTGAGGTATATTCGGCAGCAAACTGTCGGATCATTCTGTGAAGGATCTCTCGAGCCACTACTGGAATGTGTGGGTCCGAGAAATTTGGCACACCTGAAAGAAAAAAAGTTTGTTTGCATTCCTTTACAGAGCGATAAGTCATCATTGATGAACATTCACAACAATGAGTGCAAAGGTATAGTATGTGTTGTATTTATTAAAAAAAAAAAAAAAAAAAAAAAAAAACTAAATTAAAACTACATTGTTCACATATTTTAGGGGAAGTTTAGTTCCTGCAAAAAAACAAAAAACATATATAAATTCATATAAATGTCATGCCATTTTGCACAGGCTGCTCACCTTTTCTGGAGAGGACTGCATTGAGAAATTCCTCTGCTTGTTTTTCTAGTCGGATGATTGTGGTCTGATCTTTAACCAGGAGAGGTTTGGATGGATCTTCAAGCCCTGTGTCGCTTAAACCAATTAAGTGTTCCTGTCAAATGACAAAACTGTTAAGTCCTGTTACATTAGCTATGTCCAGAGTGCAGGCACAAGTCACCCATATCTGATTTATTTCTCTATGTACTCAATAATTTTTTTGCTTACTTTACAGCCACAAATCACATAAAATCTGATCTTTAAAATAAAATTTAAAAAATATCTGGACTGTACCTGATTTGGGACCACATCTGAAAGTGGCCTAAATCAGGTACAGCTCAGATGTTTTGCAATCCGACCTCAGGCTAAACAGTCATATTTGCCTGAAGTGTCTTGTACGAGAGTCTTGACGATTTTGGGTGAAATCTGTTCCTGTGAGGCCATTCACATCACATTTCCAGCATTCCTGGTTCAGCATTCACACAGACCTCCATACAGAAGTAGCAGCTTTTCCTCCACAAAAAGCCATAATTAGAATTTGGCTCCCTTTCTCCACATCCTCGTCCTTATTGCCATCTGCTCACAAATTTGCTGGCTTCCGCTGCAAATTACTTATAATATAAATTATAAACATAAATTAAACCGCAAATGCTAACTTCAGGGGCATCCATGTTTATTTCCATACAACAGCGTGGTGTGTGTGATGTCGTGTTTGTTGTTCTTTGGTACATGCATGGTAATTCAGGACTGTGACCTGTTCACACTGGAATCTGATATTGGCCACATTTATAATGTGAATAACCAAACAAAAAAACATTTTGATCAGAATTGAGCACCAAGGCTAAAACTCCTGGGGCAAGAAGAAGCAGACGAAGAGGAACAACCGTATTATTCCTAAATGAGACAATTTTAAATGTAAAGAAAGAAATAGAGAAAACAAGAAATCTTACCTTTACTTTGTCCCGTCTAAAACAGCAGAATAGACAGTTTTCATCAAATGACCAGTCAGACACTGCTGTAGGCTCAAGGTCTGTGGAGACAAAATAGACAGCAGGCAATGAGATACAATTGTGTGACAAATCGTTTTTCTTTAGTTTTTCTAAATTTTTTTCTAATGTATATTTTATGTGAAAGACTCTTAGCACATACAAGCTCAAACCAGTGCCTCAATAGACAGGACAACGGAGGCAGGGTCTGGATAGATAAGATCTATCACACAGTTATAGCAACTATTGTTTCGACATAAAACATGTCTTGGGGCAGTGGTGGTGTAGACCACTATAATGCTTGAACCCAGCTAATTGCTATCTCCCTCAAAGCAAAGGAATAATAAAACAGTTCCACTGCCTGACTGATCAGCATATCATATATTTGGTTCATCACTGTTCTGTCTCTTCCTGCATTATCACCAACACAACAACCATATTGTCTAGACAGCACATGTAGGATGCATCATGCAAATGGTTCTGTCTGAAACCTGCAGTGTCCTGTGTTCAGTTTTAATTATGAAAAAAAATGTATGAATGAAATGAATGAGTGGGCCACAATGAAAGTGCTTTGATTTGTTGTACTGAGACTGACTCAAATTACCATCGTCACCAATTGCTATTGCAGAAAGTCCCACTTAAACTTTCACAGTACTCTCACTGCAAATGTAATGAAAACTCAAATAATGCCCACTATTGACTCACTAACATCATGCATTGTAAAAATGTCTGTAGGACACTGTAGACTTCTACACTGGCAACACGCCATCCAAAACACCAACTTTGTAGGAACACAAGGCATCTTCTCTTCTGCAGCCAGAGGGGCTGTCTTGTAGAGTGAATGTAGAGGGGTACCAGATGGTACAATGCAGCAGCATTGTCATAATGAGCAGATAACAGATTATGCTCAAACCACAAAATGGACATTCATATGTTAGATCATGATCACTAGTATGAAAATTAAAATAGTCTGAAATGCTTACCCTTAAATAATTTTAGGTCTTCTACCAGCTCCGGACCAGAGAGACCTTCGAGAATGCTCTCAAAACCTGAGGAAAGACATGAAATAAATACATGCAGTGGTCAGTGGTATCATACAAAAGCAAACCCATTTTGACGTAACATTTGTTTAACCCCTAATTAAGGCTTGATACTGAAACAAAAGACTCAAAATTAAATTACTGTTTAGCAACCTTATCTTTCCAAGGGACCAAATAAATTTTTTGTATTAAAAAAAAAATGTTAGAGGCTGGTCTACTATTTATCACTGACATTTCATGTGATAATGTCTTTCTTCTATTTATCCAGGCACGTCTATTTCATCAGACAATCCTTATAAACCACCATACACTTCTGTTAAAACACATATCAGCTTTCACCCTAGGTTTGTAACAGTAAATACATGCACTCCATCTTCCTGTTGCCAAGCAACTAAAGCACCTACAGAGTTGGGAGTGACTGCGTGTTGTAATATTAAAAGGAAACAGGCAGAAACAAGACTGCTGGGTGATGCCGTTAAAGTATCCTATACAATTTTGGAGACCAGGAATTCAGCGGAAACCAAATCATTACAGTCCACTAACATTACAGTTTACTGTTAAGCAATAGCAAAATACCCTATATTACATATGCAAGCTGAAGAAAAATCTTATGCATTACCGACAAGATGGTGATATCTTACAGTCCCAGCTGTTTGAAAGATACAGTACGTTATGCAGCTGCTTAGGACTTCGCTCAACAGTGCATTAACACAATATGCAATGTCTGCTTACTGCCGCAGGGTCAGTTTAACCAATCCAAAACCACTACATGCATTAAATCAGGCGCTAAAGAGGTCAGAGGTAACATCTGTCTACTGAACTGGATCTTAAATGAAACAGTGCACCAATTCAAAAATGCTAAAATCTCATGAATCAAAGCCTTCTGACACAAAAACAAACCAGATGGCAGTTAAAGAGCTACGTAAAACACATATGCATAAGTAGAATCTAAAATATGAAGTTAGTCAAATGTGTTTAATGGGTCATCTAACTACACATCATAGTAAAGGCCTACTCACAGTATGTCTTCACAGATAACAAGTGGGAAAATGATCAGCCCATAGCATCCACTCTCTTCCTGAACTCAGTGAATTCAGGAAAAGCTGTCATCTGTTAAAATGCCCTCGCTCTGCTTCCCTACAAATTCCCACCCACTTTTCAACAGCCAAACATGAAGAGGGGTGGGGGGTGGCAATGGGTGAAACACTGCCTTGCCTATAGCTGCAGCGCAAGCCTGTTTCTGGGTTAGTGCACAGGACTTCAGCTGGAGCTATCCAATCCTATTTCTGAAATATTTCAGAGGCACGGGAGAAAAGTAGGTCATCCACTTTCGTTTGACAGAGCAGCACCATGACATCAAACTACTCTTCAGGAATTCAGTTTAGGGCATTTAAAAATGTGTCGTACTGTCAACCATGACTTTAAGGCAACATTAACACATTCCTACTGACAGAGCATTGTATAGTGGCGGATGTAAAGAACTTCTTCACAAAAGCCTCTTTAAAACAAAACCATTTTGGGACTGGCAACTTAAATTTAAAAAATAGAAAGCTGTCTATATGTGCAGTGAATAAAATATGCAAGCTCTACAAAAGAAACAGTGAATAATGGCCACAATTAAAATGCACAATGAATGGAATAAAAACACCAACATTTCACTGTATTGAGCACATATTTTTACACTTTTGGTTGCAGAAATAACACCTTAATGTTCACTTTAAAAGGAACATTCGCTAATTAATTATGCTGAAGAGTGAATTAGGCCATCTGGTTTGATATATAGTGATCGGCCTCAAGATACAATGAAAAGAGTATAGAGGTACAAAGTGATAATGAGAAAGAGAAAAAAAAAAAGGAGCCTGGTATTATGTGCCACCGGGCTTAACACCTAATTATATCAAAACTTAGCAAGAAATAATGAAAAGACAGTCCGGACAAAGATATCAGGTTAATGAGGCTGACAATCCCTAAAAATGGGAGTAAAAACACACCTACAGGCCTAATTGCATTGACAACATGTCATTGAACCTCATTAGAAGATTTGGTCTTTTATCCAGAATTGTAAGTGCATATTTTTTTTCCCTGCTCTTTTTTTTTTTTAACTGGAGTAGAGTCAGTCATTAATGTCAATCATGTTGCTCTAATTGAGGAGGATGATGATTCAAGACCATTTTGCTATTTTCAGCCCTTGTTGGTTTGTTTTTGTTTACTCCAAATACATACTGTGGCTTGCCTCTAGGCAATTTATAGCTGAGTGAAGCTCAGTTCTCACAGAGGTATGCTGAAATTCAAAATGAAACAACAGAGTCTAAGCTGAAATGGAAAAAGAAATCAACTTTGTTCTGGAGATGAGAGCACCTACGTTTTAGCTACAAACTACAAATTATTCAAAACAAAGTTTCTCCTTTCAACCATGAAATAAGGAATACTATTATAATCTAAAAAAAGAAGTATGGCTCTGCTGAAGCCGACATCATGCCCACTGTAATTGGTCCATTTTATATAAGAAAATGAAACATTATACTTATACAAAAGTATTAGGTCAAAACTTTATATAGTATGGAAATGTTTCAAACCAAATAATCACTGATGACTATGGATTTAAGGTACAGTATTAAGATATAGCTGCAGTTCAATGCAGTCTTTTCATTTATTTATTTCATTCTTCCCTATGAATAGGGACCATTATTAAGATACTTTACTGTACTGAAGTGCATTTTTAATGAATATATATCTACTCTGTAATTTGTCTGAGGCGGGCTACAGGTAAACTCACATAATACAATGCTTATGCAACTGAGAAACCTGTTTCAACCAAGCTTTTCCAGGCAGGAAAACTGTCAACAGGAGAGAAATTCCTCTTGGCCAGGTGAGATTTTTAAACAGCCTAAATTTAGATTTAGGTTTGGTTTTAGAGACCATCAAAACTTCAGAGGCTTTTACACTCCAACAAAAAGAATAAATAACAATGTAAAATCTGATTAAATTAATTTTCAAATTCAGGACAATTCAACACATTTTGAGGCTTGGTATTTGACAAAAACTTAGGACACTTAAATGCCCTCTTTAAAAGGACCTTGTACATTTGGTTAATAAAGGGGTCCATTAGGGCTGCAATGCACAATAGCAGTAGTACTAGTTAATGTACATCTAATACATTTAAGTGATCATTTTGTCAGTAGTAAAGGACCTTAATACTACTAAGCATGACCAACAGCAAAACCATATAAAAAGGAGGCAAGTAGGTAAATCTTAACTTTTGTGAAACTGTGAGCAGCATTGTTTGGATTTGTAACCTTAGAAATGAATTGCACAAACCCTCTTGTACTTGGGCAGATGACAAAATGTATGTCACACGGACACGGACACCATAAACTGGCTCTAAGCCTTCTTTTGACCTCCATCGCTAGCCAATCCGAGACAGTCACAGAGGAAAGAATTCCTACCAGCACTTCGGAGAAATCCCACAGATCTAGGATCAGCTTAACCTCCCTAAATCCTAACAACCTATGCTGTACGTCACTGTAAACTGAACGTAATGCACAATGAACCCGTCTTTACTGCTTGTTGCAGGTGCTATGTGGGTTGGTGGTGGAGCCAAAAGGTCAATTCTCTCATCAGCACTGACTATCCCCCTTGACATTTTTGCAGTGCAAGTACATGACACAGTTACAATGTGTTGAACTGAATATCGTGAGACAAATGAAAACGGACAAATATGGGATTCAAAACAAACTCCAATTCTAGTTTTACATTCGTAAACAAGTAACCTAATTTTCCAGTGTCCATGCTCGACTATATATGACTGTTGATACTGCTTGCAACCATTGTGCCACCATTTTAGTGCCATATCTAAAGTGAGAGGAGGAGGACACTACATTGTGAAGAAAGTGGACACTGGTTGTAAAAGTACACGTCAAATCGCTGTCAGCTCACATCTCTACATGGTTCAAGAAGTATTTTCTTCCCATAGTACATTTGCGGTGAACATGTATTTTTTATGGTAACCTCAATGTTACTTTTAATTACGTTTACAAAGAGGATCCTTCCAGATAATTTAACAATGCTTTACGGTTGCTGGGTGATGAACAGAAATGCGTGTTTGTTACTGCAGTTCTCCAGATTCCTTCCAGCAATGAGCCGTGTAGCATCGTCTGTGGACAAAATGAATGGACCTGTCCACTTTTCTGCGACCCATGTTGCACCTGTTTTTCAGGTTTACTAGTAGTAGTGTTTGACTTTTTCTGACAATAGAAAGCCTGTTTCCCTGGTGGGCAGCTGGAAGACGATGTGTACAAACCCTGTCTAAATAAGAGGAACCTGAACATGAGTGTCTATTATTGCTACAACCGACCAGCAATGTAGAAACTGAAACCCCATAATCTCACACACCCTTTCTGAGGATAAAGGAGGAACTATGGTAGCTGCGAAACGTGTGAAAACGAATATCTTCCTCCTGAATGTTACACACTGGACCTTTAAATTCTGAATCTACTTATTCTATGATTTATATATTAAATCATTTTCCATAAAATGCTAATGCAAACATTTTGAGTCATCGTGGAGCTGCAGTGCTCTTTCCATTGGATGACCCACCTCTCCCTGTGCCGCTGTAGTGCTGAGGGTGTACAGTGCTGCATCAACCCCCACTCAGCCCATCCCCCCTCTGTAACTACTGTACACATGCAATCTCAGAAGGAGGGACCACGAGCTCGCAGAACAGGAGCTTCCCTAAGCTCAAATCAGTGTGCGGTCAAAATAAACCTTGCTAAATCTGGCATCTATGGCTACAGCCTTTGGAAAGAGTAGAGGGATTGGTCGTCAATACATTTCTATCTTTTCAGACGGCAGCGTGTTTTAAAACCATAGCAATGTTCAGATTGTGTGCTCACGAGAGTATAATTATGTATGAAGAGGGTCACTGATATCCCTGAGCAATGCTCTATAATGGTGGTCTTGTGTGTAACATTCAGAAAGATCTATTGGCAGAAATTAATATAATAGTGGTAGGTATGTTTGTATTAGTGTATAATCACCTGAAAATAATAATCCTTATGTCTTCGTCTCCTTAGGAAGAGCTGTTTGTATCTACATAAGGACCAGACCCTCTTCTTCTCTTTATCTACAGAATCTGCCATGTTTCTACAGTAGCCCCAAACAGTAGTTGGAAGGGGAGGGTGAGGCAAGGGGGTGCAATCTATAACTTCACCGTTACATGCCACTAAATCCTCCTATCTATTGTGGTGGGGGTCCTTAAAATGAAAAGATTTGGGAACCCCTATGCAGATGTAAGGTGGGGCTGAGGATGAGATCAGAGATGACAAAGTTGACACAAATTAGTGGAGCTACAGTACAAGTCAACCCATCACACAGAGACCAACCCTAATGCCCAGCCATCTAAAAGGCAATTTACTGTTGCCTGCTATGGTATCCACAAAAAAGTCCCCCACTGTAGGTCAAACCAGTGCTCTTAACACCATTTGGCTACACATTGTGTTCATTATAAGCAATACGCAGCAGCTGGATCAGGCTATACAGTGAGCAGTGAGGTGACAGCGGATAAAACACTCCATGAATACTTAACATGATATGATGCAAACAGACAGTCAAATGGTGTAATCCTGCACAAAGCATAACTTTGAATAACAAACATGAGACCGTCAGGATTTTAAGCAAATATGAAAAAAAGGGGTGCATGCACACATGTAGACCCAAGTGCACACACACACACACACACACACATACACACAGAGAGAGAGAGAGAGAAAGGCAATGCATTTCATATGAAACCTTTAAAGCTGTTGGTCATGTTTCACAAAATGTTAACAACCCTCAGCCAGTTTCTTTGTCAAATTAGGAAAATGTAGGCCAAAAGCCCACCAGAGGAGGTAGGCTGGAACGGAATATGGGTCGATGCTTAAGTTTAAATTATAAACAAGGCAATCTGCCTTGCCTATTTACTTGTTGTTTGTTTGAGGAAATCCCTAATCCCACTCACCCACATGCAAGCAGGAATAATTGACATGCCAGGCATTTTCAAATGTTAGCTTGTGCTGTTCCAGTCCAAATTTTCCCAAATCCAGACGGAATACACATTTTCAACCACACAGTATGCATGTGGGGGCTGATGGACCATCAACACATGTATGGGCAAACATACAGACAATTGTTGCTGCTGTTCTATGGGACAATTGCCCTTGTCTCTGCCCTGCAGTTTTATTGCACACATTAAACACACCAAGACAAAATGTTCATTTCAGCTTCAGCAGGGTGGTGGTGGCGTGCAGCCCTCTCCACCAAAAAGCCAAACAAAAGTACGGCCTTGTTACCATGGACAGAATATGCCATTCTACCAGCAGACCGATGCTGTTGTCATGTACTTTACAATTAGAGCCCAAACACAAGGGACATTTGTCAATCATAAAGGACTGACTGACTGAGCAGTCCTGGGCCTGGAGCTAGCAACTAGTCAGAAAGCTATTATTCTCTCTCCATTTTCTTTTCAATAATGAGCACACAGCTGTCTAATATTGTAGCCTCTTAACTGGAATAACTTTGTTCTGGATCAGTCCAAACATGTCACTGAACTACGTCATTATTCAAACTGATAGTCCCCACTAAGAGGACTATGTAAGACAGGTGGTGCCAACAATCATCTGTGCAGTTATAGCCCACTATTACATAAAGAATGTGATGTTCATTAAAAAATGAGGCCAAAACTAATATATAATTCTGAACTTAAGTTAACCTGGTCTATGACTGACAGCAATAGGCTGCTTAAATTGTTTTGCTGAACTTGCTTTTTATTTTTATGACGTCTGCCCTAAATGAGACAACAACACATACAACACCACAGAACTCTGACATGACATAAGCATTACTGTCACATTTAAGCCGGGCTCAGACTACATGAGTTTTGGGCCAATTTACCTCAGAGAAATCTGTTCTGGGACCTTGATCAGTGCCAACGTTTGGCTCTGATCTTATCAGGGCCGCCACAATAATCGTCAAACTTGATATTAAAATCTGAGTGATTGCGTCGGTGCAGAAATACCTGAGAGGGGTTGAAATCTATCCTCCAGTTCTCTCTGAAAAACATCTAACAACTAGACTTGTTTAGCCTTCTGCTTTAGGTTTTCCTCACTGAAAGGCATTAACGTTACCATGGCAACTTGTTCTCCTCTGCCTCGATTTTGTTTACATCTGCTTCCCTGGCACCTCTAGCACGATAATCTTAATAATATCCTGTAGTGTGTGATACACAACTTTCTCCCATATGTGCAGGATGGAGAATTGTATCCAATCCAATTTTAAAATCGGTAAACTCGTGTAGTCTGAGCAAAGCTTTAGTCTTACTACTTCACAAAAAATTCACATAACTACTCCTTTAACTCGTATCAAGATTTTTGTGCACGCATAGTATGTGCCTTGTACATGCATTACACATTTCAATAAGTCCTACATGACGGCCCCGTTAAGTGAGCTTGATTTAATGTGACATTTTGAGATCAGCAGCGTCAGTAATCGTGTTCTAGGTTTTAATGCTGCTTCAAATTCTGTCTTACATTCTTCCCAAAATCCTGACAATAAACACTGCATACATGCATGTTTGGGCATTCAAATTGTAAAATATAATGTATAAAACATCACATAGACCCTTATTTAAAAGTTAAAAACTGCTAAATTTATCTCAAGGCTGATTTTTGTCCTCCTGATTAAAGTTTCAGCGAGGTTCTTTTCTATCCAGCCGAAAGCTGCCAGTCCTGCGTCACATGGAAATGGTCTCTTAATGAAGCATGCTACATTCCTTAATGAGTCAAGACAGGAAATAATTTGGCCGTAACTTGTTTAAAAGTGAATATGAAATAGGATTAAACCAATAAAACACGACAAGTTATGAGCTAAATGGTTAGTAAACATTGGGGTCACCAAGCAACTCTCTGCTCCTCATGTGTGCGATCACTCTGTGTGTGGTGGTGCCGAGTGTCCACGCTGGCTGCTGGCCTCTCCCTCTTCTTCAAGCCCTTCTCTCAGACAGTGTAAAGCTGCTAATGTGCATGTCATCCATCCATCAATATGTGTAAAACTGAATCAGGAGGTGGATTAGAAAACTTGGTTGGTTTTATTAATCAAGTGCTCCAGGAATTAAAAATCTGATCTCAAATGCAACTTTAAAAACAATAAATGTGGAATTAATCGCTACTTTAACTGGTTTATAATGTAACTACTATTGCTATTACTATGTGGTTGTAGTTGGGCTGTGGTGATCTGACGCTCAGTGTTAACGTGCTGATGTTAAGCAGTTGTGTTTACCATGGTCACCACCTTATTAACTAACATTTGCAAATTAACACCAATTACAGCTTAGGCTGATGGGCATATCATTAGGTAAACCATCACTTGGTAAAATTTTGACCTAATGATGGTGCTCGATTAAAAGCCAGGGGAGGAAATTTCACTAAAACCCACCACAAACCCCCCACCAAAAAATGATTCACCCATTTAATATACGTTACCACCTGGGAACAGTAAATATTTGTAGTTTTGTCCAAATGTGTCCAATAGATGTCCTATGTTAGATATTTCACAGGATAAGTGAAAACTCTGCCCTGCTGGTGGCGTTAGAGGAAGATATTTCCGTTTGGGGCCAACAAGCACAAACCTTCCTGCCCAAGCCCTTATTGTAGGTTACACCCTTTATGCTCGCCCCCATACTAATGACATTGCTTTAGTTACCATTAGACAAACTATAGTGCAGAAACCAGCGTTAGAGGCGGTTTTTTTTTTGTATGTTTAAACTACCCAACAATAGTGGGCAGTCTCCGCCACTTCCTCAATGCAGCAGTGCGCGCCTGCAGGATTTTGAGAGAGGCACAGTAAGCTGAATGTTAAATGAAAACATCCACTACGGTATTTTCTTTTCGCCCTCCCCCCATCCAAAATACAGTATCACGTGAACGCGCATTTAACAAACGGGGCGACACGTCTCCCTTTAAAAAACAAATACAGTGCCCTTTAAACAAACTACGCCACTAGCAACAGTAACTTAAACATACAGCTCTTCTTTTTTACGAACTATAAAAGCGGTAAGCGAAATCCAAGGAGGAGTGAAGCATTGAACGAAGTGCAAGAAGCTGCGTCGAGAGAAGGAAACAGTTGAGCTCCAGTAATATGTGGTTATTTATGTCGATAATGGCCACTCCGAGGCCCAATTCAACCCGTAAAAGTGTACAGTGTGTATCTGACATTATCCTTACCTACACAGTGAATGAGTTTGTGCCGCCACGAATCAAGTTCCTGCCGAAATCCGTGTCTGTCGATCGTGCATTGCTGCTTTTTACACCTAGTAGCCATTTTGTGTTTCTCGCTCTCTCTTGGTGCTGGTGCACGAAAGAGGAAGCGGGTTGTATGGAGAACCGGATGGGTCACAATTCGTCTCGATTTTTTTTTTCTTTTTTCACCGGCGTCTTTAAGTTTTAGTCTACTTTCCAAAAACATGAACCCAGAAATGTTGAGTACACCAAAGTTTTATGTTAGAAATGTAAAGTGTGAGTCCCCAGCATATAGAAACTGCCGGTTGCTAATGTGTATAATGTTGGGCAATAAGCATTATTAGCATGAAATAGCATAATCACCTATTATGGACAATATTTCAGCAACTGCTTGGCCTATTTGGACAATATAGGAGTTGTTTTAGGGGTTATTAGGGGTGCTTAATACATTTCTGACATTTCTAAAACACAAAATGGCTGTTTAAACCAGAAGGGGACATATTTTAACTCCGAGTGTGCCAATTTTTATGAATTTTTAGTTAATTTATATGCTTAATAAATTGGGCTTGCATTTTAGAATAAAGAGAGCTTCTTATTATATTAATAATATTTGCACCATTGTTTCATTGCCGCTGTAGTTATGGCTGCAGGCTGAATATTGGCTGCATAGAAAGACAGAAGAAACGCAGGTTTTTACATGGTTACAATGGTTCAATTTGTAAACAGTTTCATTTGTAAAAACGGTCTCAATGCAAGTAAGTAAAAAAAAATGCAGTAAATCAAATAAAAACTTAACCCACAGTAATTATCGCATACACGTATGTAATGTAATTTAATTTCAGTTTAATGTATGTAATGTATGTTTTGTATTTTGTATGCAACTGGATACTTGAATTTCCCTCTTTGTGTGGGATTTGAATAGTGTAGTAGTTCTATCTATCGTATCTATCTATCTGATCTATCTATCTATCTATCAGCACCACCAAGCAGTTAGTCTACATTATTCCATTGTAGTAACCCCTCTTGCCAGCTGAATCTGAGAGCAGTCTGTAAGATGGACCAAACCAGTGCACCCGGTCCCGATGGCATTTAATGCAGTTATCTACTAAAGTGGGATCTTAATGGAAAAAAGATGACCGACCTATTGAAGGCAATCCTGTTGTGTAGTAAATTCCGAAAGTGTCTAAAGTGGGAGTCTAAAAAATTAGATCCCAAAAGCAAATTACCAGAGAAACTGTAGACAATTACCATTAGGCTCAGCCCTCTCGAGCATCTTGGCCAGGAAGTTGGCCAAAGCATGTTTGGTGCACCACAGAGAGGTTTTATTAAATCTCCTGGTTCATAGAACCCGATGATACTAGTTGTCCGGGATGGTACAGGAAAGGAAGCCACGAGTAGTAAAAGTGGAAATCCTAAGGACATACATATGTGTATTGTCTATGTTGCAGACCACAGAATGGCGGGCAGAGCATTAGGCAACTAGTCAGATTGACTAATTTATCTACGTTTATTGTCATCTGTAGACAGGAGCTGTTCCAAGTTTCTCTTGTGACCTACAGATACAATTTGATTCGCAAAGTGGGAACAGCCCAAGCCCTTCTTCTACTGACTCCCACGCCAAACTACTACAGACTGAGCCTACTGCACAAGGATGAGAGTTGGCGGGAGATGAGAGGCTCAGGTGACAGCAGACTTTCATTATTGGGGTGATGGACCAGGCAACCCAGCCATGGTTGATTAGACCACAACTTGTGTTTAGGCATTTGCTCCTCCCCATGAACCTCCTTACCTAACCCACCTTAAGGCTTTCTCTGTGATGTTCTTGATGGCTATTATCCTGTCCTTCCCAGTGATGCCCAGTTCTATCCAGGTTTTGTGGAGTAATTGCCCTGTAAAACCTCTGCAGCCCACCTTCATAGGCATACACTTTGCCTTCCAGCCCTGCTTCCGACAGCCCAGGGCACGGTCAGCTCTATTATAACGTTGTTCTTTGTTGCCTCTGAGACCTATATTCAGAACCGCCTACAACATACTACCAACAAACACCAGTTTGTATAGTAGTATGCAGTATGAAGCTGTAATACTATAATATTATTATGACAAAAGCTCCCAATAACAAATAAATACATTTAATCATCTGTGAGCCCTAAGTTCTAAGTTACAATCAAATTTCTTATTATCATTCTTCACACAAATTAGCATTAATTTATCCAGAGCTCACAGGTGATCACAAACATACATCTCATATGAATGAAAAAGGTGTTTGCAAGTGTCTATAAGTTCTCAACCCCATAATCATATAGACGTAATTCATAGCGAGTATAAAATAACAATAATTATATGTGTGGGTACTGAATGGCAGATCTGCTACTGAACTCAGCCTCCTAATAGTGCCGCCTATGCACTTGCCCTGTAAGAAACATTAGCTGAATACCTACACCACAGACTTCATAAGTCTATTGTGTTGTCTGTGGGTTATCCTTTATTAATCCCCAATGGAAAATTATTTTTTCACTCAATGTTTTACACACATGGGCCCAAAACAATCACACTCAAAGGGCATATAGACATGCAAATATGGTGGAGGGATAGGCTGCCACGTAGCAGCACCCTGGGAGCAATTAGGGGTTCAGTGCTTTGCTCAAGGGCACCGCGGCAGTGCCCAGGAGGTGGATCTGGCACCTCTTACTTTACCTTATTCATTAAATTGCTTTTAAGTAAAATATCTTAATTTGTGGGCTTTTCCAGGCAAATATTGATATAGTTTGTGATTGCTTACGATTAAAACAGCACTACTTAAAGTCTCCATGCCACCCACTTTGCCACCCTATGAATATTTCTCTAGATCCGCCCCTGTATCCAATTATAAAGTCTGTACTTTATCATTTATGGCCTATATATTATAATGTAGCTCAGACTACAGTCAGTGAAACGGTGGGCTTCCATTTAAACTGTAGTGTTGAGTGCTTTACGCACTTTCAAAAGAATGCCAGTCTTTTTTATAAATACGTCTGCCGCAGTCTCTAAGCTGTAGCACACTAGGCCAATCAGAGAAAGTTTTCAATAAGAGCCAACAACAGTCATGCAATGAAACAGCGCGGCGGTCAGGCTGCAATGATGCTCTTGTAATGCTGCCTTAAGGTGCTGTCGGAAGTATGGGAATCCTGACATAAGGCACCACAAGCACGACAGCAAAGGTAAACACGGCTCGTAAAGAGGGAATTGGTTTCTATAAGTTTCTATGTTGAGTCTCTATAAGTCAAATATTATAAGAAGAAAATAAAATAATGTGATGTCTTAGTTTTATTGTGGCCTAAAGGAAGACATTTCCCAATTTTCATGAAGCTGCCGTTCCTCTCAAGTAAAATACGTTTTGCCGCAGATTTTTCTCATCATCTGTAATCAACCAAGCGCACCTGAAGTCTATGTGAGGGTTTGTTATGACTCTTAAACTCGGATGTAGGCGCTTACGAGCAGCACTTGAACGCGGCATACGTTTTCCAGCCGGTGTTTTCATATATTTACGCCCCTCCGCTGTTGTATGGTGCTTTCCATGCTTCAGAGACGACAAACGTAGCGTACAGGTAAATTAAAGCGTTAATAGGTGTTGTCGCTTTTTGCTTATCCATAGTTGTGTTGCCATAGATTACTGTCGATTTACATAGACTAGTCACTAAAAGCGATTGCAACATCTATGTGAAGGCTACATTCATCGAGACATATTGACAGCCTAAATTGGATATTTACAATAACGAGTGTTTGTGTCTCGGTGTGAGCTGATGCATTATTCATTCAATGGCGACCGCATGGGTAAAACTACACCTGGCTGCCATTCTGTAGGCTGCATACTGTTATTAGAGAACCCCTGAACAGGTGAAATGGTCACAATAGGATAAGCTTTTGTTTATATCTGCAGTCAGGCTACAGTCACGCTTTCCAGTCTATTCCTAGAAGGCGTTTCACCAATGTGTGCTTTTAAACTGGGCTCACTACCACGTACATACACTGGACACTGAACAGACTTCTTGGGTTGACAGTTATAGGATCTGGTGTAACTTGTCTTTATCCTTTGATCCGACCTACACCTAAAGTTCAACTACAGTGACATGCATTTACACTTAAGGGCTTTTCCCACACACAGTAATTTTATCCCTATTAAAAAAAACCTCAAGACAAACTGCTTCAGCTATTTAATTATGAAAGGTGCATGTGCTGAAAATAATCCTCAAACTCATGTATTCATGGTACTCAAATACTGGTCACGTGAGGCTGTATGGTACACCTCATGCATGGTTTTCTGTCTTTACTCATGTAAGCGATTTAAGGTAATGCCAAATTACAGTGCATTTGTATTCTAAACACCATAAGAAGCTTGGAGTTGCTGCTTTAGTTACCACTGTGGAGCTGGACCTGAAAGTTACATGAGAAAAAGACAAAAACTGTAACAATATGTCCTAAAGAGACAAGTTACTTCCTCTGTTTCATGGGCACAAAGAGTAATAATGCTTCCCTCCACAGTGAGTAGTCAGTAGATCATGGTCAGCTAAAGAACGGTTTCTCAGATCTGGAAGAGATCCACAGATGCCCCTCTCTCACTCTGAAAACCTTTCAAGTGATTTCCTTTTAAACGTTAAATTGCAGGTCACCAATAAAGGTATGCTCCACAGCTCTGTTGCCAATGAGTATGTTTGTGTGTCGATAACAGGGGTGACATGACTCTGACCAGAGGATCTTTCATCTATGCCAGTGGGGAAGAATACCACGGCGAGTGGAAAGAAGGCAAGACAAGTCATTTTGTACAGTTTGTGTGCGAGCGTCGCCAGCTTATTTACAGAGTTGTGACGGATATTAATAGTTGCAGGTGAACGCTATTTTGGCCTGCTTTCCTGGCACGTTTTTCCCTTTTCTGAAGCAAAATCCTTTCCACACATACCTGTACATGAGTTCAGATGCAATACAGTATATTTCTAGTATTTAACATGGTCTCGTGCACACATGCAGGTCAATTTTGACCATATATGATGAAGGTATTACTGATGTGAATCACATGAAAATATACTGAAACAGAGGTGTTGATTATCCTCTGACTACACCTGTCATTAGCTAAGATAACAGCACTCTCTGCTTCAGCATGGGCTTGAAAGCATCTGTCCTGGATTAGAGAAGGTGTTTACAATTTTCTTCATGTGGAAACTCCAGGCTACACATTACGTATTGATATTGTTGCTGTATTTTTATTCCACGTCTCATTTGAGTTTACATAATTAATGTTATTATGTTATGAAGACACTAGCAGGAACTATGCAAGTATCTGGCAGCAAATATTTTTTCTGTTTATTTGTGCCTACTGAAAAGTAAAATTTTCAGTGAAGGGGAAATAACTCGTCCACCTGTGGCAAAGATTATGAGGATGTTTGCATTGCTTTAACTCTCTTCCACACACACATACAGTGATGCTGGTGACATGCACGCTCAAGCTATTTAATCAAATCCCAATTAGCTAGCATTGGCAGCCCATGACGAACAGAGTCAGATTTACCAGCTCTGGCTTTGTCAAATCTTCTGGATTAGACTTTGGACCAGTTTGGGAAATCTCAGAGAGTCCTTTGTCAGCTGCGGTTGAGAAAACCAAATCAATCGAAAATTACCAGGAACAAGTCTATCCATCCTTCACCCTTCAAAGGCACCTTCGCTCAGTTTTCCAGTGTGGCAATTGTGAGTGTAAGCCAGTTGTAGCAGTTTTCCAGAAACTTGAAGGTGTGGGCCCTCTGACATGATTACAAGCTTCAGTAGTGGATCATAGGCTACTAGGAAGGGGAATGCAAGTACATTCCTTGACTGTTTTCACAGAAGTAGAAATCCCTGCTAAAAAATCTGCTGGATTAGAGTGCTGTAATTCCCACACCACAGGAGGCAGATGGGACTCCTAATTCAGTAGTAAACCTTGAGCTGACAGAGGGGGGAGGGGAGGGGGGGGTACTTAAATCCAAGCACGTACTAACTCATGTGACATATGTAGTGGCTCTACAACTCTACAACACCAAGTGCATTTAAAGCCCTGGGCCACATTGCAAGTTCAAATGTTACACACTATTACGAAAGAGTAATCCATAGGAGCCTAAGTGGTTAGATGAGACATGATGACACCCATGTAGATAAAATGTGGCTTTCTTGTGTTTCCATCATCTATTTCAAGTTTGAGCCATTACTCACTCTGATGGTGTGTGACTTTCCAGGTCGGAGGCATGGTGTTGGCCAGCTCAACTTTCAGGATGGAACATGCTACACCGGCCAATTTGAGAATGGACTCTTCCATGGCTTTGGTGTACTGTTCTTTACAGATGGATCCAGGTGAGTAAGCATGAGTGAGACAAAAAGGCAGCAAGTTTTTCCCTCAATCATAAGTTACAAATGACACCCTGCTCTCTTTTCACCATACCAGATACGAAGGAGAATTTGCACATGGGAAGTTTCAAGGTACTGGAGTCTTCAGCCGATATGACGGCATGAAGTTTGAAGGAGAATTCAAAGATGGACGTGTTGAGGGATACGGTATGTCTGTTACACCACTGGAACAGTTTGTCCACCAGCATGTCGATATTGTCTTTCTGTGGTTGGTCATAGTGTCCTGTGTCTGTGCCTCCAGGGTTATTGACTTTCCCAGATGGAGCTCATGGTGTCCCACGAAACGAGGGCTTGTTTCAAAACCACAAGCTGCAGAAGAGAGAGAAGTGTCCGGGAGTGGTGCAGCGTGCACAGGCTTCAGCCTCCAGCGCTCGCAGTCTGGCACTTTGACTGTCACAGACCCTGCTGGAGACACGGTCAGGGTTCCAGCACCTTCCAGGAGGACCTCAGGGATGTGTACTCGTATACTCCCCTCCAGCTCTTCTCTCTGTGTCTTTCTCTCTTTTTTTCAACATCACTTTCATTTTTTTTTCTTTTTTGGCATCTTCCTTGCTTAGCCTTCACAGTGGCTTGGAATGCACATGCAATTTGACCAAACAGGCTTTCTGTATGACTGACTTGAAATGCACAACACCATGAAGCACACCTTTAACACCAAAGGCTGCTGGTTTTCCCTTGTTCTGATTCTTGTACACATAAACAGTGTCCTAGTGTTTTTCTCTAGAATAGTTAGCTTTCATACATCAAACAACTGAATATGGGAACCTCTTCTTACCATGTTATTGCACATCTGGTACATATTGTCCTGCATTAGGAGGAGGTGTAAAGTAAGTCTGTATGCTGAAGACTTTAGCCACTAATGAGATAAATTCACCTTTAAAAATGCTGCAATCCATTACAATAGAGTGATACTTAAAGGTACCATGTGGAGGTTTTCACCAGTGGTATTGCTATGGAGAAATGCTTTTTTTAAAGTGGGTCCCTGTTTTTTTTTTTATTATGCACAAGGCATGTGGGAGACATGATTCTTGCAGATGGTTTCACACTGCTGGACAGTTGGTGGTGCATAAAGAAATAATCAATGCGCCCACAAAGCCACTGAAGAAGTCTGCAAGCTAGCAAACATAGATCTTAACAATGCATAAAGTAAAATAGTCAAAACATTGGCTATACAAATATTCCATTAGGATGGAAATGCATTGAACACATCTTTCAGGCCTCAAAAATAAACACAGTGAATGTAAGCATAAGTTTTGTTTGTTTCCAAAAACACTCCACAGGGCACCTTTAAAATCTCATCTCAATTAACTGTGCTGCTGAAAACTTTATCTTTCAAGGAATGCATTCACTGATGTTTCTCCTTTCAGAGGATCAGTATTCACGTATGCCTTAAAGACATTTTGGTACAAGAATGTAGTACAAGGGTGTCCGTCTGAAAATTAGATGATGCACAGTGCCCTCTCCTTCCGTTCTCCTCTGCATCATTTGCCCTAAGGTGTCTGTCATCCTAATGAATTTGAGGTCTGCCACAAGACCAACGTTGCTAAGCTGGTGCTGAGTTCCAGTTCCCATCACTCACAAGTCCAGCAGCTCTCTTTCCAATAAACATCCGTCTCTCAGTGGAAATCAATGGAGAGGAGATTTAACTCTGCTGGATGATTCTCTCATGTTTTCCACTGTATAACCTGAAAGACTTGGATGACTGGACATCCTCAAAGTTGATAATTAATCCTAATTAAATGTATTTGAATTAGGTACGTAGATCTTAAATGAGGCAGCTGAATGAAAGTTTATAAATCATATATATATTTAACAATATGTAATTCTCATGTATGTGTTTTTTCTGTAAGGTGTATAGATATTCATTGTCGTGTTTGTTCTGACCTTGCAAATGAGTTCAGAGATAATTGCTTGCTTGGTCAAGTAGTAAATTGTGTTACTGAGTTATTTAAGACAGTGTGGTTGAGTATTTTGAGGTGTAAAAATGTATTAACCATTACAGCCAATCACAGTTATTCTGTGATTACATATTAATTCAGTGTACTTGAACAGTTAATAGGCCTTACAAAGCATTTGTAGACATGGCATGTCTAGGGTTGCCTACATAGAACTTCAACCAAAGACAATCAAATGATATTATTGGTAAGGATGCCTGAAACAGTCAACAAGAGTTACATGTGTTATTTCTTACAGCTGAACATTAAAGACAAATCAATAAGGACAAATTCTCCTGGGGCTTTAGTGTGCAAGAAAAACAAAAGGACCGAAGATTAAACAGGGAATTGATATTAGGTTCTGTTGTAAATATAAATTATCTAGCCTGGATTATTGCAGTTACTGATTTTCATTGTTGTCAGATTCTTTGAGGGGGAAAAAAATCAATATTTAATATTGTGAGCCCATATTGTTTCTTGCTTTGAATACCCCCTTTAGTACAGCAGTGTGCTGCAAAGTACAATCAGAAAGATTGAAGATAACAGTAGACACACAAAAGCAGAGCAGTGCATGCATCAGTTACGCAATCACACAATCATACTTTACTGTTTGTTATGTGCAAAGTGTGTAATGTCCTGTTTCAGATCATGTAATACTATTTTTCTCTTTCTGCTATGATGGAGACAACGCCCGCTCAAGCCTTATTTGACTACACGCCCCCTGCCTGAGTGGAACTGAATTCAGTAGAATCCCATATCCATTTCCAACTGGAAACAAATGGTGCTTTAAAAGCGTGCCTGTCCAGACTTTTCACCTGCCTGGAGAATATCATTGCCATGGTTACCTTCTTTCTGTAACAATATAATGTTGCTTTGAGTGCTCTTAAAGAAATTTCTGCACAATATCCTCTCATTTTCCTGGAATAGGTATCACATAGGTGGTAATCGGTTGATGTGTTTATTAAAGCCTTGTGTTGAAAAAAAGGAGCATGTTTTTTCATTGTGTAACAGCATTGCACTTGGACACAGTAACGTGACGTGAAAATATTTAACTTTTAGATGATTATGCAGCCATTTCTGATCACAGAGGATGAAATGTGGGACATTTGCAGCTGTAGGAAGAAGTTTAACCATTTCATGGGTAAACAGGTTCCTCTGGTTTTTTGGCTGCTACACAGCATAAAGCCTCCAGTTTACCCATCCCCCTTCTCATTCTACACCACTCCAGCCCTCAGCAACAGCACAACAGCATACTGCTTGTAGTTGAACATAGAATTGGAAACAGGACTAAAGCTGTAAAACATGTATGAAGCCAACAGAGTCCTACAGATGCTGTAATATCTCTGTTAGGGTCAGGCTGACAAATAAATGACAACACCGTCACGTAGTGTGTATAACCTTGTATTGTACATGTTATGTGTCTATGCTAAAGTCTTGCTTGGAACAGGAAATATTGTGTCTGGCTGATAATATATCTGATGCATCAATGGTGCTTTTCAAAACAGCATTTTACATTGTGAAAAATAGTAACACAGTATTTGTTATGTGCTCACAAAATGAATGGCTATATGTATAATGACTTACCGTACATAAATAACTACATTGTAAGCAGGGATGGGGGGGGGGGTAAGCTGTTGGTGTCCGCACTCAGCAGTGTGAATAGCATAGCCAACCGCCCTCAGGAACATTTGAGCCACTGATGGTAGAAGGAAAATATGTCCACTGAGCTCCCCTTGAATCCCTGACTTTAGCGGGGGCATACCAGCCATCTCTGCTATCGTCAGCTGACGCCTCACACACAGTGCTACTGTGTGCTCTGGCCGTGTCTGTCGCCTTGATAAAACAAGGATCTCTTGATGTATATTCAAACACAGCCTCTGTACAGCACTATACATTAATATTATTCAACGTCCAAATACATTATAAATCAGATATGAGACATATGTGAGAGTGCTCCTAAAAACATAAAGCTCTTTAGAAGCAAATAGATCAGAGAAATTCAGCTTTGTTTCCTTATCCATATATTTTGTCTCCTTCTGGAGATAAGCAGATCATTTGGAATCCGTCACATCCAAGCTGACATTTTATAGTGTCAGAGTTCAGGCTAATCCCAGAGGTTTAGCAGCATCGCCCTGGGAAGGCAGATTTTCTTGGTGAGCACATATAATGCATATTTTTATGATGTACGTAGTCCTACAGTGGAACTGCAGAATGTATTTTGAACCTGAGACAGATAGTCATAGTAACTGACAATATAAAGAATATACTGCAGTAGATTTGCAGTTTTTTGCACTATTCACTCCTCTCTCTGGATGTGTTTTCAGGCGCCACCAGTCCCACCTCCCTCAGCTTTTCCAGTCTCTGCATGGTCTCCATGATGTCAAACTGCCATTGTTTTACCTGCTGCAACGCTGTTACTCCCTCCTGTAACACAGTTCATACTTTCAGTGTGTTAGCATGGGGTCATATTGTATATTTGTTGAGATATGAGCCACAGCATGTTAGCTTTTTATATGCAATCAATCAGCATCCTTTAAATGAACAGTTCAATATTTTGGGATACGCCTTATTTGATTTCTTGCTGAGACTTAGATGAGGAGATCAATAATCACTGTGTGTATATGTTAAATGTGAGGCAATAGTCAGCAGGCAGCAGTTAATCTGGAAACAGTATTCCTTCATCTGTCCAAAAGTAAATAACATAATACTACCAGCACCTCAAAAGCTCAGTAACTATCAACTTTTATTTAATTTAATTAATAAAGAATTGTAAACCAAGTTTAAAAACGTCAATTCGCCATTTTACCGCCACATGCTGGACAATTTCTTGGCTGGGACCAGTTGCCACCAACAAGCAGAGACTCCAAGAAGTTACTGTGTTACTGAGCTTTAGCTGTTTCTATCTGATTCCTGTCATTATGCTAAGCTAACCTAACTGTCTGCAGCATCATACTTAACATACAGAAATTAGGGTCATATTTATCTTCAAATCTAATTCTCGAGGAAGAAATCTAAGCATATGTCCCCAAAATGTCAAACTAGTCCTTTACAATCATCTTCAACCACCAAAGCACAACAGGTAGAAAAACTCACATGGTTTTTTATTTTTGTGTCAGCCCCTGCAACTACGAGCAGCTTCACTATCTTGTATCTGTTGAGGCGCACAGCATCATGCAGGGCTGTGTCCCCTTCCTGAGGGTAGGAAAAACATGTATTAATGACAAAAATGAATTATGGAGATGAAACAGACTGTTGAGCTGCTCCCTACCCTGTCCCTGGAGTTGATTTTGGCACAACAGGACAGCAGGTACTCCACAATGGCGGTGTTGCCTGTTCTTGTGGCCACATGCAGAGGAGTGCTGTACAACTGCAATGTACACATTGGCATACATTGTGACTGGGTTATTTGTATGAAAATACACATACAAACACATATAGGACCAACTGTATCAGTATAATATAACAGTATGTTCATAGATACACAGTCGTAAGTCCTGGTACATATTCAGGCACAAGTAAAATGCACATTCACCTTATCTCTAACGTTCAGGTCAGCCCAATGGCTCTTAAGGGCTTTGACAACTTCCAGGCTTCCCCCTCTGCATGCCCAGTGTATGGCCCTGGAGCCCAGCTGAAACACAGTAGGAGGGCCCTATTCTATTAATAGTGCTGACTTCAGGCCACAAGAGGCTGGAGCAGTGAAGATAATCTCACCCAATCTCATCATCATCTTTACAAACAAGCAATGTGCCTGCACGTCTTACTTGATCTTTAAAGTTGATATCGGCTCCTTTTTCTAAAAGCATTTGGACAACTGCAGTGTGTCCTTCCAGGGAGGCGCGATGTAGTGCCGTCCTTTTCAACTGGAAAGTTTAAATGTATTATAAAAAGAAATTGTTGTAAATGTATCTGTTTTACTGCCACACCGAGAGAGCATACCTCATCATGGACATTAGGGTTCCCACCATCAGCCAGATACTTGTCTATTACATTCAGCTTGCCTTGACCGGCTGCATTCATGAATTCTGCAGTATCCTCAAGCTGTACCTTTCCACACAGAAACACACACACACAGAAACATTGGAGGACAGGAAAGACACAGAGATACATTTTTTATACTTATATGTTGTGCACATGAAACTGAAGTTTGTGAAAATTGTGGCTCACCACCGGGATTTCCACAAATGCCTTGGGTGAGCATGCTTTCTTGATCTTCTTTTTCCTTTTGTACAGCTCTGTGATGTTCTCTCCTCCACTCAGATCCAAAATCTCACACTTCCCCACTCTCTCCTCTTCCTGGAAAATGACAGAAACAGTAATAATGTGACATTAAATGATGTGACACGATTAGAAAACCTAGAGAGAGAGGTATTATTGGCTTGTAAAGCAGATATGCCAAGTCGGCTAAGGGGTGTTGAGAGCTGGGAATGGTAGTGGTAGTGTTAATGTCAAAATAAATTCACAGCATAGTGCAGGCAATAAAACTATAAACTGACTCTAATATGCTTTTAATATGTTTTTACATAATTTATCAATGAGCCAGAGTTCAAAGGAACTTGTATGTGTGTGCATGTGACTTTTCATCTGCTTTTATCTTGTTTTATTTTATATATTTTATAAAAGTAAAATAGATTATTATTTATTCTTTTGATGATAAGTTCTTTTGTCTATTGTGCATACAAATCCTTTAATTGGCAGAATTTATATATATATTTTTACATGTTTTCATTTTCAAGATAACCTTAGAATTAAATAGTAATTTACTTTTACATTAAGTTTACAATTATTGACCATAATAATTTGTTGCACATAAAGAATAATAAAAAAAAACAAGAACAAAGACAGACTTTGCTGTTGTCAGAAATAAAGAGTAAAAGTCTAGTCTAACGTTCACTGAGCAGAAATATAATGTTTTTGTATTTGAATGACAAAGCATATGAACAGGAGCCTTTTCTTAACTCCACTCAGGGCCAACACATTAGGTTAGGATGGAAAAGAAAATTATACAACAGTGGGCATTTACATATCTAGTCACATAGTGGCCCTTGATTTGCATGTGTGGCTCAGTGTGTTTTTTATTGTGAATGTAAATGGATTTTGAAGTAGGCTGATTACATGTTCTCATCATGTTCAGGGCTTAACCGCAATTCTGACATGTTTTCTGGAAAATAACAGTTCATTAATGTACATGCCTTCACATAAAATAAGTTTTGTTTTTTTAATTTACAAATTGTGATATAACAGTGAATATTATATACAGTCCGCTGTGCTGGGAAACAAACTCTCCCTAGTGGTGAGTGTCTAATGATTATCCATCTAGGAGCCATATTTAACGTAAGATACTGTGATATAAATGGAAAATGATCATAAATGCCACTTTGGAAACATTTCTTTCACCTACCTGAGCTTTCTTTTCTATTCCTGTTTTATGATCCATCACGTTGGCTGCCCACTGCACAGCCTCTTCCATCTCTTGTTTGCTTAAAGTTTACAAAGATACAAAAATAAAAATCACAGTCAATAAAGTAATTTTGAACAGCTTAAGCTTTTTAACATTAACTAATAATCTATTTAATAAAATAAAAGTGGCGGATAACCAAGCTAACTGTGTGTCACTTTACACAGAAGTGCTGCAAGCCCAGTGGCTTCCTGGCAGGAATGCTGGGTTCATGGTGGGACATTGTGTTACCCCAACAAACAGGTGTGTGCACTTTAGCGTACTTGCCAACCCTACTCTCTCCCTCTCTCTTACCCTCTACCTCTTTCCCCCTCTGTCATGCACACACACGCACGCACACACA